TCTGTCAGCCCCAGGTCCCCTGACCTGCAGTCAGAGCACCGTGGTCCTCCATGGTGCTCATTTATGGAAAAGGGTCTCCTGAGAAATTGATGTCTGATGCAAGAAATAAACTTCTGAAATTGTTACAAGGCACTCTGGAATTTGTAGATTCACAGAGAAATCCCCTCCCGTCGTAGATTTGACCTCAGGAGCCTGCCAGTCCTGGCAAGCACACCTGACCTGGGTCATGCTTTCCAAGCCGAGCTCTGGCCCCTAAATGAGGGGAAGGGGAGGGGCGAAGGCAGCCACTTGTGACACCCAGATATCAGTGTTGACAGTAGCAATGGGGTTAGACACTGTCCTGAAAGCGGATTAGAGACTGAGGAAGTGCTTTGTGCTGTGCTTCTGTCTAGATTTCGGTCTGAGCAAGGAGGCCATTGACCATGACAAGAGAGCCTATTCATTCTGTGGGACGATAGAATACATGGCACCCGAGGTGGTGAATCGGCGGGGACACACGCAGAGTGCCGACTGGTGGTCCTTCGGTGTGCTCATGGTAAGGCTTGACCTCCTTGGTGGGCCTCTGCACAAAGGGAGCTGTTCCAAATGAACTCCCCCCAGGGCAGCCCGGCGAGCCTGGAATGAGGGGCAAGAAGGGCCCACACGCACGCACACACACACACACACACACGCACGCACACACGAAGCCCTGTGTGGTCTCAGCAGGAGGGAGGAGGGAGCTTCAGAGCATTTCCTGGTTCCTCCACCTGTCAGTCCCAAATTCCCACCACCAGAAAATGGAACTGGGACTCCAATGGGAATGCAGACTGATGAGAGGGCACTTTATACTTAACACTCCTACAGATTGGCAAGAAGTTTAAGGGATGCAGTGATGCCACTTTCCTGATCGCAGGTGCTCCTTCTCCCCCTCCTCGCCCCACCCAGGCAGGGCCCTCAAGACCTCTACTTGCCCTCCGTGTTGGCCAGGCTCTGACACTGGAATCCGACATGGGTGGTCCCGACACGGCTCCCATCTGTGCATTTAGCAAAGGAGCAAACAGGCTGTGAGACCTTAAGTAAATGTGGCAACACACTTGTGTTGTGCACGTCCAAACCTGGATCCCTTCACAGACACGGCCATCTGTCTTCCTGCCCCTGCAGGACCCCTGGGCTGCATCCTACAGCCTCAGTTCAGACCTGCCCCCTGGGTGAACCTCAGGCTGGTGTCCAACTCTCTGCCCTGTTCTTGACCCCTGCTGACCTTTTACTGTGGGGCGATGGCCCTCAACCAGCTTGGAGGTGGCTCAACTCACAGTAAGAGATGTCCATGTCAGGTCGTGGCTCCTGCCTGCAGGACCAGCACTTGTCTCCCCAGCAGTGAACTACAGGACAGTTCAAGCTTAGTGAGAAGATGCCTGGTCAAGCAGAGGCACGACATTTAGCTAAATGTTCTGTGAAACAGGTTCATACGTGCAAAGCACAGGACATCATAAAGGGTCCGTGGATGTCAGGAGGGTGCTGACAATGTCTTGTTATTCATGATAATTCACACCTGTAATAGCAGCAGCTAAGGTGCCATTCATCCTTTCCAGAAGGCCACCAGCCAGGGTTCACATTTGTCTCTCAGGCTCCCTGTGTTCCTTTCCGATCCAAGCATCTTTCTTTAGATAAGTTAATGGGATTGTTAGCTTTGCTCTCTTAGAGGTGATTTTTGCATAGATAGCTCTGCTCCCATCCAAATATCTTGGTTTTCTTTGAAGCCCTGGGTGGCAGGTGTTTGGTGGGCTTAGGGGAGGGGTGCCTCCCTGAGGTCACCCCTGCTGCAGACTTGGCTTGAAGTCTGGTATCAACCTTCACCCACACCAATCTGCAGGTCCACCCTCCAGAGAAACCAGGCTCCTCTGGAGACGTGGCCAGCCGCCCTGCAAGTCCAGGGATCCTGCCCCTATGTGTCACTTTTTGACTTCCCCTGAGTGACCTCTAGGCCTCAAAGAGGTGGACAGATGATTAAATCTGGTGCTGTGGATGAAGCTTTGTCCAATGGACAGATGTTGTGAGATGGTGTCCCTCATCCCTCGGGGTCACTGCGAGTTAAGAGAACAAGAGGCCAGCCAGAGCCTGGAGAGGAAGGTCGGCAGAGAGAACCTCACCCCGACCGTGCCCAGGCACGACGGGCTGGAGGGGTCGGAGACGGGCTGGAGGGGTTGGAGGGGCTGACATTCCTCTAATCTGCTGCTGTAGAAAGGATGACAAGGCCCATCCCATAATATAAAACAGACTTAAGTTCTTTTCTGATCTGAGTCATTGCAATCAAGGAGATGAATGGACACACTGAAAGGAGGACAGCCGGAGTTTGTATGGGGAAGGAGGGAGAGCCAGGGAAACTGGAGCTGCTCCCAGCAGAGGATCCTCCGTGCATGTCCCTGCAGGGCTCTGGGCCAGAGCGCCACCTCTGGAGCCCTTTCCTTCCTCTCGGTCTCCTCGCACTCCCGGTGTCACTGCTGCACACTCCCACCTGCCACAGCAGACACCTGTGTACCCCAGCACTCAAGTGTCAGAGCCCCACGTCCCTCCCCTGACTCCCCTGCACAGAGCTGCCCTGGGCCCCAGGTCTGCTCCCCGAGGGGCAGCATGAAGACAGAGGTGCCCAGACCATGTGTCCTGCAACCCTCTCCTGCCTGGGCCCCCTGGTACCCCAGAGTTTGAGAACCTGAAGTGGGGGTCAGCCCCTGTTCCCAGAGGCACCCTCGCCACGTGGCCAGCTCTAGCCACCAAGACTCTCCTCGCTAGATTGCTTAGTCAGAGGACTGCACGTTCCATGTCCCCGGCCTACAGGGAAGAGCAGTGACTCAAGAACCAAAAGTGTTCACTGGTGAGCAGAAAGCGGACATGAGAGTCATGGGCGACAGCAGGAAGTCTGCCCGGCCCCCAGGTCACAAGGCGTCCCCACATCTGAGCAAGGTGGGAAAGACCGTTCGTTCCTTCTCTGCACAGACAAGAACCAAGGCTCAAAGAGGGCCTCACGGCTTCCAGGTCACGCCCTTGGGGTGCTGCCCTCCTGCGCCCTGGCCCCAGCTGATGACCGTGGAAGGCTTGGCCATGGTGGCCTTGGGCAGAAGCATCAAGTGCTTCCAAATTCTCATTGCTGTTACAGGGTGGCTCTAAGTGATGTTTAGTGACGTCTCACCCCAGCCTCCTGAAGGTCATGGTGGCACTGGTTTGTCTGTACAGTGTCTCCACTGGCCTTGCTGAGGTGGATGAGGCCCCTGCTGTTAGGGCTGGGGAGGCTTGAGCTGGCATCACCCTGGAAAGGCCCTGGCAGGTGAGCATTGTTTTCAGAACCTTGCAGTCTGGTGCCAGCCCAGCTGTGAGAGACAGAGCTGGGGCTGCAACTGAACTCTGAACCGTTGGCATTGACTGCAGTGACGTAAGGCAGCTTACAGAGCCCCTGAGGAGCCAAGGTCAAGAAAGGGAAGTCTCGGGAAACCAGCACAGGCTGGCTCGGAGGTGCTTGCCATGTGCAAATGCAGCCCAGATGCCCTTCTAGAACCTGACGCCAACAGAGCAGACCATGCCAGGGACTGCCCATCACAGTGGCCACACCACTGCTGCTCACCTTGTTCTGCACTTCGAGCTCCTACCCGCAGTCGGTTTTGCTCAAGGACATGAGTGTCACATTTGCTCAGGCATTTTTTCCTCAGCTCTTTGGGAGCACCTGAGGATCAGCACTGGGATGTACCCTGCCTCTTTGGGGCACAGCTGTGGGAGCAAGGGTCAGTGAACTTGTCTCCTGTGCTCAGGCCATCTGTACACAAGCCCATCCAGAGACCTGACCCCGAGCCACAGAGCCAGGTCTGTCCCACCTCCAACCCCCAAGCACAACACGGGTCACCTTGCCCATGCTCAGATTAAACTATTAACATGCTTCTGATTTCTTAAAAGAATGGCGACCCACCAGATGAACTAGGATTCTAGGCTCCCCGTGACCACATGTCTCCCTCCCAGAGAGCCTTCTTATTCAGCTGCCCCACTGCCATCTGGGTGGGGTCCTGCCCGAGCTATGGGCTGGCCTGTCTTGGGTTTATGGAAAGTCCCTCCAGGCAGGACTTCGCCCCAGCCCTGAAGCGGGAGGTTGCAGGGCATCCTGGGCATTGTGGGATGTCTCCCAGCCTCCCTGGCCCGGACGCGAGTAGCAGGAGGCCCATGATGACCATCAGAAACATCCCCAGCTTTGGGAAATGTCTTGGGGGAGCAGGGAATCACTGCTTCAGGATGTTGTGGCTGCTCAAGTGCAGCGAGACCCGTTTCTCATCCAAGGTCCTCTGTGGGCATCCACGGCCTGACCTTGGTGCCCATTTGTGAATGACTCAGGGAGAGTGTCCTCGAGCAGGTGTGCTCCAGTGGGGGACACAGGGCAGCCATGGCTCTCTCAGTGTGCTCTGGAAGCCGTGGTGTCCTAGCACAGGAGCAGAGGCCTCACCACAGGTAGTGTGCAGGTCATGGGTCGATCCAGAACAGGCATTTCAGTAGTGATACCCTTTCTGTGGGGGCTCTTGGGGACCAGAAACAAAGCCAAAGCACCGAGACGTGAGTAGGCCACAGCAACAGACAGTTGCGTTGTCCTGTCACGTCCCTCTTCGCCTTCATCCTGGAGAAGCGCTGACTGAGCACCCACACGAGTAAGGTGGGCTAATGATGGACGGGGCCTCCCACCTGGTCCTTGTTGCAAAATAAAGAGCAGCATGGAGTGAGGACCAGACGGGGAGAGACAGAGAGTCGCCGTCAAGGTCCAACAAGAACCAGAGCTCCGTCCATGGGGATGAGCACACTGTTCCCGGCCGAGGCCGTGCAGACTGCAGCTAGGACCCAAGGCGAGGCTGCGGAGGGCGCCCATCCACACAGCAGCTCCCCCGCGGACGGGGATTTCATGAAGGCTGCAGGAGACTCCGGGAGGTGCAGAGGGCGGAAGGGAGAACCAGACAGGAAGAGTTCCCTTGCTGACAGGTCCTGTTTTAAGGGAGCTGGTCATTTGTATAACTGGCTCATAGAGGCGCACCCTGTGGTACCCGGGGGCAGCTCATCTGCTACCAGAGCATCCTAGACTTCCAATTTAATCACATTTGTCTCTTTTAAATTCTCATCTGGACTCTCTTGCTCTTTTTATTACTTAACATTTATTTATTGCCAGTAGCACACAGATTCGACAGCAAGTTTGACGTGACAGAGTGGGCTTCGGACTCCTGAACTGGCAGAAATTTAAGTTTGTTCTCAGAAAGAGACCTGCAGCAGTAAGAAAGCCTTGACTCGTCCGTTTCTGTAACTTCACTCTACAGACACCTGGACGTGTTAGGCGCACTTTTAGGTAGCTTCAGTCTTATGTTGGCAGGAAATGGGGAACCCCCCGACCCACAGTAGGTGCACAGTGGAGCAGTGGCGTGGCCATGGACGTAATGTCAGATTGTATGATGGACACAGAGAGTGTTGTATTATTCATGAAAAGTTCAGTATACAAAACTTTATTAAAAATTAAAAAAAAAAACAGCTTGAGAGAGTTCTGGATGGAGGTGCCCCATGGTAATGGTGGCTCTCCTTGGACAATGCAGTTTGGGTCTTTTTATTTTTGTGTATTTCCCAGGATTTTCTTAATAAAGAAAAAATGCTGCAGGAAAAATTACAGAGGAGCAGAGACATCCAAAGTAAAAATAAATTAGACGAGGCCGATTGGATAAGACCTCACAAGCTCTGCACTGAAGCTACTTTTCAGAGGCTAAGATGGGTGTGGTCACCATCCCCTGGGTCCCAGGTGTGTGGTAGGAAAAGGGCTTCCACTGCCCGAGCTCCTTGTTCCAGGAGTGGTCAGAGATGCACGTCTGATAGACCAGAGAGTCCAAGCCACTGTCCCCAAGCCCACAGAATCCTGTCCCTCCTCCCAGTCCCGGCCGGCCCTCCTCCGTACCCGCCATGGGAGGGTGTGCTGTGACTGCTCACTGCGTCCCTCGTTCGTGCATCTCCCACTGGGTCGTCAGATCCCGGAGGCTGGTCTCCCTGGTGCACCAGCACGTGGGCCTCACTGTGCCCCATTTACTAGGGTTTGGGACAGATTAATGAACGCACGCTTCTTTGGGTTGCTTTGCAGTTCGAGATGCTCACGGGGTCACTGCCGTTCCAGGGGAAGGACCGGAAGGAGACGATGGCCCTCATCCTTAAGTGAGTGGGTGATCACACCAGCGCGTGTCTGTGCCCTCTAGCAGCAGAGCCTAGTTCTCACCCCCAGGTCTGAGGAATAGGCCGTGGCCATGGGACGGGCACACGAGCGCTGGCCATGAGCGGGATCACTGGTGGGTGAGGCAGGACCATGGAGGGACTCCAGCGCTCCGTCCACGGCGCTTCCCATCGCCTGGATGGCCCAGTGGCTGGGTTCCAGATGGGCCTGGTGACCAGCCAGAGGTGGCACACAGATTCCGGGGCTCAGGGGATTCAGGACGTTCTTAGCACAGGCTCAGACTCCTCTGCTCTACCTTCCTCTGCTCGACCCCATTCACATGGTCGTCCACACCCTGCCTTCTTACAGGAGTGGGCACCATCTGGTCACATGCCTGCCTCTGCCTGACTGGGCAGTTCCACCCCATTTTCAGAAGGACTCACCACACAAATAGACCTGCTCTCAGAACCACGGGAGTCGGAACCCAGGGCCACCTGGTCATGACATCCCCAGTGTGAGCTGAGCACAGGGTCAGGGAAGGGTGGGTGACAGGGACCCAGGAAGTTCCTCCCAGCCATGCTAGGGGGTGGAATTAGGGCCATTTGAAGAGAGAAGTCACAAAGCTAACCTTGGGATCACCACCAGAATCCTGCTGCCAGTGGGCATGAGACTTCTGTGAAATCCAAAGGCACCTGAACTGTGGCCAGTTCCTCAGACGTGGATGGGAGATGGGTGGAGAAGCGCAGGGAGGTGCTGCCCTTGGTTCTCAGCAGCGCCTCCCTGTGGAGTAGTCCCTCGACTGCAGCTGAGGGGGCTTCTGTGTGCCCGGCCCTGTGTGGGGAGCTGCAGGGTGCACACTCATGCCTGTCACTTGGGAGTGGCAGAGTCAGGGTCAGCACTGAGCTCTGTGCCCTGGTCCTCAGTGGGGTCCAAGGAACTGGGCTCACAGCGTACTCCTCCCCCAAATGCTCTTCATGATACTACAGCAGCCAGACTTGGGGGGCGGGTGCGAGTGCAGGCATCCGAGGACTGGAGGGGACTCCCAAAGTGGGATGCCACCCTTCTTGCTGCCGGCTTTCTGGGGCCTCGGTTTTGGAAAACGCTTATTTCCATTCAAAGTGCTGTTGATGCTAATGGGATCCTTACTGCTGTTCTAATGCTTTTATTATATTTTAAATGAATTATTAAATACAATTACAAAAATTTGTACTTTTAATTTCTAATATGGCAAATATCAGAGCTATGGGGCACATTATTAGTATCTCTATAGTGTCCCTAAAGACTTCTAAAGTGTACAAGTGTCTGCTCAGGTCACAGTTTGGGCATAGCGACTGGCAACTTTGGAGTCTGTTAGTGCCAAATGAGCAAGATCTCGACATGGAGAACACTCACAGCCCTTGGCGTCTCCCCTTCTCATCTGAACACAATTCTGTTTTCAGAGCCAAGCTGGGAATGCCTCAGTTCCTCAGCTCAGAGGCCCAGAGCTTGCTGAGAGCCCTCTTCAAGCGGAACCCCTGCAACCGGCTGGGTAAGCGCCCCATGACACCCCCAGGGACCTGCTCCGGCACTCCAGCCCACTCTCCCAGTGTGTGCCTGGCCTTGCCCAGGTCCCTGAAGACAGAGGGGACAAGGGAGCCACTTGCTGTGTGGTCGAGCTCTGAGGACCCGGGGTCTGGTCACAGTCAACATGTCATAAGCTGTCTCTGAACCCTCCTCTGGTTCTGCTCCTCTTACTCTGGGGACTCCATGAGCTGCAGGCAGAGCGGCCACTCCCACCCTGGGGTCTCCTGAAGCAGGAACCGCAACGTCTGCTGAGTCCCACGCGCACTTCTGCATTCACGAGCGCTGATCTGTTTCTTTTTTTGGTGGTTTATGGAGGTGTTTGCCCTTGCGGCCTGGAAGGCTCGGGTCAGGCCCTAAGGCATCCAGGGTAGGGTCCGAGGTGAGTCACTGGCAGCGGGAGCACAGGGAACTTTCCAGGTGGTTTTATGATACACATAAATGGAAGGAACAAATTAGTTACCGTTCCTTGGACTCTAACCTCATAGATAACACATGATTAAGAAAGGAAGACAAAAGGTAAGTCAGGAAATATTTCATTTTGGAGAAAATAATTAGATTTTCCTCTCTGCATGAATCAACCCCAAAGGGAACTCAGATGCGACTTCCTTTACATATCAGCTTTAATTTCAGGGAACTCCTGTATTAGCGGTAATCCTTCAGTTATTAAAAATCAAGTTAGCTGGATGCTGTGGTGCTGCAGCGATGTGGGAGCCTGAGGCAGGAGGACCACAAGTTGGAGGCCAGTCTCATCAGCTTAATGAGACCCTGCCTAAAGATTTTAAAAAGTGAAAAGGGCTGGGGATGTTGCTCAGTGATAAAGTACTCCTGGATTCAGTGCCTAGTACCACAAATTTAAAATGAGTAAAGCTAAAATGAGGGGTACCTTCACAGTCCCCAGGAGTGTTTTCACAATCTGTGAGAGGGTTGATACGCAGTGACCTCCATCTTGGGGAAACGGAGTTAGAGTGACTTTCAGTCGGTATCCATGCACTTAGAACAGGAGGACATCATGGGAGCCCCTGCCCTCGCGTGGATTCTGCTGAGAACATGTTAGCGCTCGGCCTCTCATCCAACTTTGGCCCCTCTCCTTCTTACTGGTGTAAAGTTTTCCAAAAACCTTGCAAGGATTCCCACGGGCCTTGACACCAGCTCTCCCATGCGATCCCGGACATTTAAACTTCCACTTCTCAAGACTCCACTGACACAGGCTGGTGGTCACCCTGTCTCCAGGCCCCGGCTGACAGTGATACTGCTGGCCACTGTGAGCCTTCAGACCTGGCCTTCCTCAGGCAGGGCCTGCAGCCTGACAGGGAGGGCCTGGAATCCAGGGGAGACAGCGGCTGGGAAGTGGGAAGCCTCTGTGGCCCGTGGCCCAGCTGCCCCTCAGCAGCCCAAGGCCTGGGCCCAGCCTGAGTACCCCTATCCGGTCCCTGTCGGTGAGAAAAACTGTGGTCCAGTCCAGTGAGCTTGGTGAGAGCCAGCTGGCAGGATCATCGGTCACAGCTGGGTCTCCAGAATAGACCCTAAGGACAAGAAGGTCCTCCGCCTGGCCAGGGGGCCACCCTAGGAGAGAACTGCCCAGGCTATCCAAGAGGGGGGGAGATCCCTGGAAGCAGTGCCGTCCCGAGGCTGTGGCTGCCCCAGATGCCACAGGGTGAGGGGTGAAGGTGGGATGCGAGGTCCCCAGTGTGGAACGTGCCGGGCCAGAGCCGAGCCCTGTCCTGGGGAAGCGTGCAGGTACACACAGGGCTCCGTGTTGGCTCACAGGCTGAGGAGCCTTGAATCTTTCCCTCACAGTCGGTCATCAACCCCAGGTGGGATCCAAGGCTCCTTCTCCTGGGCTAAGGGCTCCCCAACCACCATGGCTGGTGAGGTCACCCACGTCTGTGTGGCCTGCGGCTCCCCGGCTCTCTGCATTCACCTTCCTTCAGGAATTCTGCCTGCTGTTTCTGGTGCCTGACAAGGAGCAGCACAGTTTGGAAAGCAGGCAGCAGCTTGGAGGATAGTCTCCTACAGGACAGTGTCCCTACTTGTGCAGGGCTGCTGCAGGCAAGACCTTGGCAGAGGTCACAGTACACCCCAGCTTGCATCTAACCCTTGCTCCTGGAGTTTCCATCTCTGTGGATTTCTGAAATCCACGTGTAGTGGCCAGGGCAGGCTGGCAGCCTCCTGGAGGTGTGTGGACCCCATGCCGTGAAGGAGCAGCTCTGGTCTGCACCCTCCCGGTGAGGAGAGACACGTCGGTGGGAGAGACTTCCGCCTTCCCTGCTGGTCGTGGGAGCACGTGCACCTGCTCGTCACATTCTTCTGCGCACCGCTCTTCAGACCCGTGTTTCTGACCCTTTTACAAATTCCCCGAGAGGAGTGGGGCCCTGTCCCTGTTCCCCCAGCAGTGTGGAAGGCTGTCCCATGAGGAGCTGGGTTCTCTGCCTTGGCCAACAGTGTGACGGAGCAAGACTAGGCAGCACAGCCCACGGCGTGAGCTTGTGTCACCCCACAGGAGGCACAGTCATCCAGACTCCGCTGTGTCCAGTGACCCCTCCACCCTGGGAGATGAAGTTGGGTGGACTGTCCCTGGGATCCCTCCTGTTCCTCCTGGTGTTCTGAGTCCCTGGCATGGCCTCATGCACCTCCAGAGCCTGTGCTCTGCCCTGTCGTCACCAGCCCGTGAGGCTTGGGCACCTTGCTGTGTCTGGCCCTCAGGAAGGCCTGATCCCAGGCAGTCGGGGAGGTGATAAGACTCCTATTCAGTCTCAAGGCAGACGTGTCCTTCCTTTGGGGGTCACTAGTTAAAAATGTGACCCTGAATTTGACCCTCAGTTGGAGGTGGCGAATGCAGCCTGGCTGTGAATCACGCCTTGACTTCAAGGGAACGAACGTGGAGTGGATTGCAGTGCTGCTTCCTCGCCTCCCCCTGCACGTCTCCAATCCCCTCCTCCTCACGTATGGAAACTGGAGTTCTTGAAAATTGTTCATTTGCTAATTCTTCCCCTCTGCTGCCTGACCCTCTGGAGTCAGCCTGAGGGATGCACCACTCCTTCCTGCTTCCTCCCGGCATCTGCAGCTTTCTGTGATCAGAGCCCTAAGGACACGATGCTGCCGGCAAAGCAACCTGTGGCTCTGTCACTTTGATCAGCTCTGGTTTCCTGGACAAAACCAGAAATTACCAGGAGGTGATTCCTTCCTCTAGACACAAGGAGAGAACAAAGGCTGTGCCCACTCCTCCAAGGGGTCCTGTGCACTGGCGGGGACCCCTGCAGGGACATTGGAGAAGGAGCAGACCCAGAGCTGGAGATCTGCCCTCTTGCCTGGGAGTGGCAGATTTGGCTCCAGGGCTCAGACAGCTGATGCAGAGTCCCTGCTAGAAGCTGAGAGGCCTGCGGTGGATCTAGGAAAAACTGGACTTGCGAGGGCCTTCTGCACACGTGGGCACAGAGCAGTGGGCTGCGGCGCCTGATGCGCGACCCCATGGGGTACGTGAAGCAGTGCCTTCCTGCACAGCCAGCGCTGGCAGGCCCTGGGGCCTTGGGCTGACCTAGAACCAGGCCGGGGCGGTACCTGCACAGAGCTGGGTACAACCCCAAAGTCGCCAGCAGTTCTTCAGTCTCAGTTACAAAGAGGAGCTTCTGGAAAGCTCCTGTGGCCTCTGGTCCTTCCTGGAGCACTTGTCCCGGGTCTATCGGACGTGAACAACGAACTGTCTTTATTTCATACGTAGATTGTTTCACTTTAATCTACACTGATGTAAGTTTTCTCTCTTCCCCACCAAAGAAGTTCCTGAAATTTCACTGCATTTGGATTTAATGAATTGCATAAAAATCTCAATTTATTTATTTTCTGCCGCAGTCTGGCTGGGCATAAATCACGAGCCACTGAAGCAGGAACAGGCTTTTTTTCTGAACTCCACCAGCACACTCCACACACGCTCCCCGGGAACTCTCCCGAACGCCACCTATGCGGCTCCTCCAGGAACCACCAACTGGAAATCCCACCCCCAGAACTTCACCAACCAACGCGAACTCTTCAGGAATCCCCGCGAGAGCTCAAGCGAACTCAACAGGAACTCCGCGAGAACTCAAAAGTCATCATCTTAACGGCTCGCTGGCGTCACCTCTCAACCACTGCTTCTGGCAAAAATGCCATGCGGTATCCCAACTCGGCTGTGGCCCTCAACAATTTTCATTGAATTTTATACAGAATTTTTATTCTGTAGAGCAATTTGGCTAGAAAAAAATATCAAGGTTGAGAAAAGCATAAGAAGAAAGCTAAATAAATGCAGGCTGAAAGCTATGGGATTATATTTATGGGATCCAAATCACCAGCAAGGTTCAGGATCTCCCCTGAAATCCTCCCTGAGATCCTCCACAAAGGAACATTTAGAGCACACCTGTTCTTGCTCCGGGGAATAATTTTGTACTTTTTAAATTTTTGCTGGAGGTGGAGCCCAGGGCTTAACGTATGCTAGACAAGCGCTCTGCTGCTGAGCTACGTCCCCAGCCCTGTACTTCTTCATGAGTTAATATCGGTATGGTGGTTTGTGATGTTTTATCCCTTCTCCACCTTTGTAAGAAGAGTCCTGGCCCTTTTTCACCCTGCATCATGGTATAGAGGCGATTCTTTGGTGAGACCCAGTGCTGGCGAAGCCCAACAGGAGATACTGACACTTCAGAATGAAGGCGTGTGTCTGTTCCCTCCGTGAGTCAGTTTGAAAACTCCCCATTAGAGTATGCAAGCACCTCTGCTTTGCCCAAGCACCCCTCCAGCAGGACAGGTCTGCTTGGTATGTGCTGCCAAGGGGCGCGGCTGTGCAGGAGAAGCACAGTGCCCCTCACACAGGGAGGCTCTGCTGAGCCTGGGGCCACGTGAGCAGGGGAACAGGTTGTCACCCATGCTAACATGGAGAGGCGCTGAAGTTTAAAAAGAGTTAAAATAGCACATGGTACCACAACATCCAGAGCCTTCCTG